GATATCTAAATAAAAAATCGTGTCAACTTTAAGTGTCTCCGTATATATTAACCCTATTAAGAATATTGTTCTAATGACTCCTCTGTTTATTTGTTTGTAAAAAAAAAAAAAAAATCATTTAGTTTGCTGTTGCAGTTATGTGTTTACTAGATAGGCTCTGCCAGTGCAAAAGCTGCCTGACATTATAGTTTGTTTTGTGTTGTTTAGTATAGGTAAAATCTAAATAATGGAGAATTGAAACCTTACCAAAGTTAAAATTTTGGTTCTGTAACAGTAATTTTGCTGTTGGACATGTGCGTTATAAAGGAGTACGGAATCAAAGTGTTGCCTTTTTGGACTTAAAGCACAAAAATAGGTAAAAAAAAAAACAAACTGAAAATCAATTTATATATAACACATTTCTTCAATGCAGACTCAAATTGCAGCTACGGCTAAGAACATCAAGCAACTGACGATAGTTCTGGTGCAAAATCAACCACAAGTGGGATGCTACATATGTGAATTGGGACACCCTACACATGAGTGTTAAGCTATAGTAGAGGAAGCCAACGCTGTGGGGAACTTTAATAGAGGAAACTATCAAGGTGGGAACAACTATAATGCTATGGGTCAAAGACATCCTCAGACCACAGGGTCAAGGACCAAAAGGTTTTCATAACCAACAGCAGTAATACCAACCACCACAAAAAATTCGGTCTAAGCATGGAAGATCTCACGAAGGAATTCACCAACAAAACAGATGAAAAATTCGAGAATCAAGACACGACCATCCGGAATTTAGGAAGACAAATGGGAGGCGAATTTGTTGTCTGATAGGACTCCCGATACTCTTCCCTATGACAAATGGGACANTTTTGTCAAAGCATTTGATTTCAAGTGGGTGTCACACCTGCTCCATCTACAGACCTTGCGTGTTCGTTCATCTTATATAATGATATCACCTGCTATTTGGAAAATGGAAAAGTTGAGGCATGTGGATATAAGCGAATTTTCCATTACATTGGAAGAGAATTTTGAAGAATCTTCAGATATTGTGTTACATAACATGAAGACTCTTGGCATGTGCTATATGTCCGTAGCTGACATGACTCCGAGATTCTGGGGGAAGTTTCCAAATCTCGAAGAACTCAGGCTCAACATTGATGAGCTTGGAGATGTTCCTAATAATTCAGGCTCCACATTGACGTGTTCTGACATGTTCCCCTCGAGGCTAAAGGTTTTATCCCTTAGTGACATTTTCTTAACGGAAGAAATAGTTTCAAATATCGCAAGACTTAAAAGCCTTGAGACTCTTAAATTATCCGAGATATACTTTACCGGGGAAAAGCACTGGGACCTCAGTGTCAGTGATCACAAGTTCGAGAGACTCAGAGTTTTGAAATTGCATCATGTGTTTATGACTCAGTGGATTTGCTCAGAGGAATCATTTCCCCTGCTTGAAAAACTAGTTATAAAGAGTTGTTCCAAGCTTGAAGGAATCCCGTATAGCTTAGTGTATATTGAAACACTGCAATTGATTAAAGTGATTGACTGTAGCGACTCAGTTGGAAATTCAGCTTTGGAGTTACAAAAAGAAGTAGAAGAACTCACAGGAGATGATGAAATACTCAAAGTTGATATCTCAAAGAAAGACTAAGGTAATTAGGTGGTTTCTTAATTATGTTACATGTGCAAGAAGAAACCAACTTCTTTCCAATGCTTTTGCACCTCTCTGTTGCTTCTAATATGAAAAGCAATTACTCCATTAGTTTGTCTGGATGATTTCAATTTTTCTTTTTAAAGAGTTTTGTGACTTGCAACTGTATCTGATATGTATTGTCTGAAATTCTGCTAATACTATCTGTGTACTTTTGATCCTTCTGTTTGAAAATTTTCATAAATTTTAACTATTTATTAATTAGTAAATCATTCAATTACTCATATTATGTTAAATATATATTTTGTTATTCCATAGTTAAGGGCAATATAATTTTAAAAATAATCTTAATGTAACATATTTCCTATGTAAGGGACAAAACACCCATACAATAATTAATTCAAGTTCAAACATTTTTAATGAAATATAACGATGACCCAAATTAGAATTTGCCCAATAAATGAGAGATAATAAGAAGTGAAATTATGCAAGCTAGTTTTACTTTTGGAAAGCAATCATTTCTCCAGAAAGAGCAATAATCTCTAAAATGATGTAGACCGTATTTTACATTGACTTTTGAGTTATATGTAGTAGTCCTTTCATTTGAAATAAAGAATTTGAAGTTGAAAAATTAATTTGAAGAGAATTTCAAGTGACATAACGGTTTTTTAAGACATCTAATTTTATTTTCAAAGTATAATTTATGTCCAAACACAATAATTTTAGATGATGTTTAAATACTCTTCTTCAACTTCAGCTTTAAATACTCATTTTTTTATTTCACTAAAATATTGTCTAAAACGACCCTACTTTGTATATGCCGACTATTACAGTGAGACTTCTTTATAATAGTCATCTTTTATAACAGTATTTCACTATAACAGCCAAGTTCTTTGGAACTAATTTTTTATGTTATATTTTAATACATGTTTTCTATAATAGCACTTCACTGTAGTAATCAAAAAATGTCGAAACAAACAAAACTGTTGTAGAGACATTTGACGGTACATTATCCAAACGGCCATTCTGTCTTGGGGAATTTTACATTTTAGGGTTATTAGATCTGAATTTCGAATTAAGTGTTAAACAAAATAGTACTAGTGATTATTTACATAAATTTACTCAGTTAGGGTGTGTTTGGTATAATAGAAAATATTTTTCGTGAATTCTTTTTTTCAAGAAAATATTTTCTTGGAAAACAAGTAGTAATCTTACTCATTTTTCGGTGTTTGGTACGCAAATTAAGAAAAATAACTTCTCAAGAGTATTCATAAATAATTTATATACAATAAACATGAAGCTATAAACTTTCGAACCAACAACCTTCCGAACACACAAATTTCATAAACTTCTGAACCGCTAAACTTTTGAACTCATAAACTGTATAATTTCTAAACCCGCAAACTTCCAAACACATAAACCTCTGAACTCATAACTTTGGAACTCGTAAAATTTCGAGCCTTTAAACTGAAAAATGAAAAAGCCAGAACTGAAAATATTTTTTAAAAAAATAAAAAAATTGCGGGGCCGGACGCGGGGTGGGATGGGTGGTGGGTGGTGCAGAAAAACGAAAAAAATAAAAAACAAAAAAAATAAAATTGCGGGGTGGGTGGTGCAAAAAAACAAAATAACAGAAAACAGAAAATTGAAAATACAAAAACAAAAGTAAAAACAAATTGCGATGGGTGGGTGAGTGGTGCAGAAAAATAAAAAAAAACAGAAAATAGAAAATAGAAAATACAAAAAAAAAATTACGTGGGGGTAGGTGGGTGGGGGAGTTAGAGGGTAGGTGAGTGGCGCAAAAAAAGGAAAAAAAAAAATAGAAAATTGAAGTTAGAGGGTGGGGTTAGATATGAGGGTAGTTGGAGCTTTTGTAAAATATTTTTCTAACTTTTTCTAGAAAAGTCATTTTTCTCTAATTTCAGGAAAATATGATATCTAGGAAAATATTTTTCAAATTATTTTGTGCAACAAAAAAGTGAATCTTTCTTCTTTGGTTAAAAACCCAAATGGTCCCTTACACCGCTAGGATCATTTTTGCCTCTATATATGTCCTCCTACACAGTAAGTCCTTAGTATTTAATAAAGGTGGACACATCAAGCTCCCATTTGGTCATAAGTTATTTTCACCTCTTTTAAAAAATACTTTGAAAATATTATTTGGTCATAAAAAGTAATCAGTTTTTGGGCAGTTTTTTAAGATGAATTTTTTAAGTTTCGAAAAGTGATTTAGACTAGTTTTTCAAGTTTTCTATTCACACTACTTTAATTTTTTTTCCAGATAAAATATATATCTAAATACAATTTGAACTTCTAAAAAAACAAATTCATCTTATCTTCATAAACTCTTTTTTTTCAAGTTTTAACCAAATTTATGTAAACCAACGAAAAGTTAAAATATTCCATGCAACACACTTTGAGCTTTCTGAAGCCAAAATAATGTAACCAACTTTATTCAAATTATTAGTTTATTTTAACTTATGATTATATTTTAATTTTTATAAAATAATTTTAATAAAATAAACTTATCTAATTAATTTTGAATTAAAATAAATCGAACATATATTGTATTGTGTTTGAATTTAGAATCTTGTACGATGATATCTTATTTCGTACAAATAACTTTAAGAGTATTTAAGTCATTTTAATATAAAAAGGTGCTTATTAACATTTTTACCAAATACTTTAATTGTTTATTATCAGTTTCAGTATTTTTATTTAAACATATAATTGCTTATTTATTAAATAAATTTTAACACTTAAAATACGTTTCAACATTTAATGATTATCAGTTGTCTTAAATCAGCTAAGCCAAACAGGATCTAAGGTAAAGCTGTCTTCGTGGTGGGTAAATGGTAAAGTGACAATCCTCCGTCTCTAATCTTAGTAAAAAAAGTGCTCTTTTTCAAAGTTGAAATATTTGACCAAGCTTTTGGAAGAAAAAAATTACTTTTGAGGAGAATCAGAAGCAGTTTTGGAGAAATCGAAAAAAGTAGCTTCTCTCAAAAAGCACTTTTTTGAAAAGAACTTTTGAGAAAAATACACTTAAAAGCAGTTTTTAAAAGTTTGACTAAATACTAATTGTTGCTCAAAAGTTCTTTTTAAATTAATTAGTCAAACACAAAATACTTCTCGTCAAAAATACTTTTGAGAAAAACACTTATGACAAAAAGAGCTTCTCAAACCAAACCGGCTGTAAGTTTGACGCCTTTAGTATCTCAGGACCAAATGTGTCCATGTTTTTAAACATTAAGGACCTTTTGTGTACAAGGGAATATATGTAGGACAAAAATAGTACTACTCCTATATATATATATATAAGGGACTATTTGTTTTTTTTTTTCTCATCTCAGTCTTTCACAAGATGAAAGTCAACTATCTTCTTTGCTAATCTTCCCCTTCATTTCTGTAAGCCAGAAATCATAAAGTTAAAGAACCTTTGGAGTAATCTCTCTCTCTCTCTAGCCACTCTCAACAGTAGAAGGTTAGTTTCTCTTAAAATTTTCTATTTTTTTTCTCCAATTTTTGCTTTTTGCTATTTCACTTTTCATCATTTCTTATGTCTTCTTTTACGAGATCTAGTCTATGCAGTGATGGTGATTTTCTTTTTAATTTCTACCGACGGGTTATAGGTTTTGTAGAGTCGGGTCCTTTTTTGTGTTCCCAGCCATTGTGACTATTTTGTTACTCTGCTGAGAGTCTTTTGTAATGTTTATGTGACAAAATTAAGTTGTATGGATCTGGTGGAAAAAAACATAATCGTGTGACCTTTTACACCTTATTTGGATGGTTGGTATTCGTCGTTTCATAATGTATCGTTTTGTATTTGTATTATATTATTTTGTGAATGCAACGTCTGAATCAACAAGAACTTACTAATTACGAAGAAAACGTAAGATATATGGTAGAGTTAAATAGGTTAAAGGATAAATTAAGAATTAACTAATAAGTAAGTGTAAAATGAAAAAGAAAAATAAGAAACGACGCGACGACATCAAATCGGTTGTTACATAAAATGACTCTTTTGGTTTTTATGTAACAACGGATTTAACAATATAATACAATACAATTTAAGTAACAATCAAAACAAACATTGTATTTAATGTAACAATACAATGTGTAACAACCATCCAAACGAGCTGTTATGAAATTTACCTATCTTGTATATAGATCTGTGTTGAGTGATAGTTGATCGATATATTCTTGTTTTCACTACTTCTATGGAGGCTGACAGAGTTATTACCTCTAATGTAGTTTGATTTTACTTCCAAAAACCGCCAATTCACATGAAGAACATAGAGAAAACTGCTGCCAATGCAAACCTTTCCACCCAATGCAGTTTTCCATCAAACAATGAGGAATTTGTGGGCTTTAAGGAGGACATAAAACAGATAATTCAGAAATTGACTGGAGGAACGAAAGAACGGGATGTTATCTCGATTGTTGGAATGGCCGGACTAGGCAAAACGACTTTGGCTAGAAAGGTGTACCACAATCATAATATTGCTGATCACTTTGATGCTCGAGCATTTTGTACTATTTCACAAACATATAGCATCAGGAAGCTATTGGTTGAGATTTTTAAACAAGCCACAGGTGGAAAGCGTGACATCAAAGAGGATGAGGACATCGCTGCTGTGTTGAAGAAGACACTATTTCGAAAGCGATACCTCATTGTATTGGATGATATATGGAACTACAAGGCATGGGAAGATCTGCAGTTATCTTTCCCTAGAATGGAAAAAGGAAGTAGAATAATGGTAACAACTCGCCTTCAAGAGGTTGCTACACAGATTAAGGAGCTCACTGATCCTTATTTTCTTCGGTTCCTAGACGAGAAAGAGAGTTGGGAATTATTGCAAAAGAAGGTATTTCAATGCGAGAGCTGCCCCTTGGAGCTACAGGAAGCAGGATTTGAAGTTGCCAAAAACTGTAAGGGACTGCCTCTTGTGATTGTTTTGAATGCAGGAATTATCGCACAAAAGGAAAGGCAAGTCTCTGTGTGGGAAGACTTTGCAAAGGATTTAAGTTCCCATGGTTTAGAAGAGCAGAGTATGAAGGCAGTTCAATCAAGTTATGACTATTTAGGGGATCATCTAAAGCATTGCCTTCTTTACATCGGATACTTTCCGGAAGACTATAACATTCCAGTGTCTGATTTGCTAAAGTTGTGGATAGCTGAAGAGTTTGTACTGAACATTGACACAGAGAACTTAGAGAAAGCATCTAAGGATCACTTGAATGATCTTGTCAATAGAAGCCTTCTAATGGTTTCTAAAAGGAGATCTAATGGTGATGTAAAATACTGCATGGTTCATGATCTAGTGCGTGAGTTTTGCTTAAGTACACTTAAAGAAGAAGAGTTTAAGCAGCACGTCGTGCCATGCAACTCATCCCAACCTTCATATCCGAAGGATCCTCGGTTATGCATGTATATCCATGACAAGCTTGTTAATCAATTGGAGTTGCATGGATATTCACTGGATAATATTCCATTGGTCGAATCCGAAGAAAAGGAGTATCTGGAGTTCATCGCTCATCCACGATTCTATGCATCAAGATGTATGGATCTCTTCTCTTTACTTGTTAACTTGAGGTTTATTAGGGTGTTGCATTTGTTGGATATCAATTTGGAAAGTGCTTGGGAATTTCAAAGTTCTCCGGCTTCCAAACTGGAAAAACTCACTCACTTGAAATACCTTGCAATTTTTGTCAAAAAGTTTGATTTCAAGTGGGTTTCACACATGAGCGATCTACAAACTTTGCGGGTCCATTCACATCAGCGTATAAAGACATCACCAGATATTTGGAAAATGATGAAGCTAAGGCACGTGGATATAAGTGAATTTTCCTTTATCTGGGATGACAGTGAGCAAGAAGAATCTTCGCACACTGTGTTAGGTAACTTAAAGACTTTTGGCAAGTGCCGTATATCTGTAGCTGATATGAATCGGAAGTTCTGGTGGAGGTTTCCGAATCTTGAAGAACTTAGGCTTTCCATTGTTAATTTTCATGATATGCCTAATCATTCTCTGTTTCCTACACCGGAAATTCATAACCAGCTCCAATCTCTTGAAATAAGTTTCCCCATTGGATTCTCCAAATCAATTGGATGGTTTAAATCAGTCTTCCCTTTGAATCTTAAGGTTTTATCTCTTGCCGGCATCTTACTGACAGAAGAAATAGTTTCAAGTATTGCAGCACTACAAAAACTTGAGACTCTCAAATTATTTTTTATACATTTTACTGATAATCCGCAATGGGATGTCACAAAACACGAGTTCAATGCACTGAAATACTTGAAATTAGAGCAAGTGGATATGAATCAATGGGATTCCTCAGAGACGTCCTTTCCCGAGCTTGAGAAACTAGTCATAAAAGATTGTGAACAGCTTGAGGAGATTCCTTCTAGCTTTGCAGATATTGAAACGCTACGATTGATTAAAATGGTCAACTGTAGTAAGTCAGCTGGGGATTCAGCTCAGAGCATTAAAAAAGATGTAGAATATACCCAAGGATATGAGAGACTCCAAGTTCTTATCCCGAAGAATTACTAAAGATGGTAAGTGATTTCATTATTTTGAAATTAACCTGCTTTTTAAAACTATCAGGTCCCTCTTGATATGAACAACAACATTTAGTAACTTACCATCTTGCATCCTTTTTAACTGTATAGCATGTTTAAATTATGTGAGACCTAATTTTGCATTATGTGAATTGTGATGCACACTGCATTGCTTTCATTTCTTTTCCTCCGATATATATATATATATATATATATATATATACATACTCCCTATATATATACTCCCTCCGTTTCAATTTAGATGACACACTTTACTTATTAGTCCGTTCCAAAAAGAATGACACATTTCTATATTTGGAAATAATTCAACTTTAAACTTTTCATTTTATCCATTTTACTTTTAATGAGAAGTTTTTATAAACACACAAATGTCATGGCCCCACAAAGCTTTTTCCCCTTAAGCTTTTAAGACTACAGTCCACAAGTTTCAAAAGTCTCCCTCTTTTCTCTTAAACTTTGTGCCGAATCAAACTACCTCATCTAAATTCTAAATTGAAACGGAGGGAGTATATATTATGGCTCGTTCAATTTCCTTCATTTTCCTTATATTCTTCTAGATTTATACTTATAGTCCCTTCATTTTTCTATAGGATCCGCTTTCATTTCCAGAACTGAAGAGGCCATAACCATCTGATCAGAGGAGACATCCTATAACAGCTAGCTGTTGATCCATTGCTACATGATTAAAGAGACCAAAGGTGTTGTTTTAATTAAATTATTAGTAGTGTATTGTGTGCCATTTATTTATTAAGGTACATGTATCTAAATTCTTCACATTATAGATTATACAAACTCAGTTTCCTGAACTTCTCATGCATGTATAAAACAATTTCTTAGAGCTAACATTTACATTCTCCTTTTTTTCTTAGTTTTACTTCTCAGATTTTATGCCCGGTTATTCACACGTTTTGTCTACTTTTTTTGACAATCTTGAAATACATGGTTCATCATATTTTTTTTTACTTTTTATTTTACAACTGAAGAGACAATTTTTAATAATTTCTATATAACGTTTTAAAGTTTTCTACTCATTGATACGCTCAACACACATGTCCAGGGACTAGTAATTTGAGAAGCGACATCGAATTGTGCAACAACTCTTAAAGTTATAGTGCAAATAAATCCCAATAATTACTCTCTTGCTAATTTTCAACTAAAGAAAGCCAAACTAATTAATTTCCATCAGCAAATAACAAATTCCTGGAGTAAAAGCAAATGGAGGCATGCCAGAAAGAATGAATACAATTCAACGCCAATATTTCTGAGTCCATTAATCACCCAACCATCCAAAATTATGGATTTAAGTCACTTTTCTTTCGTTGGTAACAAGAAAGTCCCTCAACTATTCATACTGCACACGGTCACTCAACTGAAATTATCAAATTTTTTGGTGAAAAATTATGACGTGGCAGTCCATATGGACTTTTTAAAATATTTTTGGACCAAATAAAATACTTAAACCCAAACAAAACATAAAAAATTCATCCCATATGCCCAACTAGACCCACTAAAAATAAAAATCCACCACTAAATAAAATCAAACGCTAAAGGCATCCATGTTGTAAAACCATGAAAAAAAGAAGAAATCTATTTTTTTTATAAGAAGAAGAGATGCATTTACAACAGGCACGCTAAAGAGACAAATGAACCCATCCACAGACAACAGTAGAAGAATTTGTGACAATACATATCAGAGCTTTCATGAGCCGAGGGTCTATTAGAAACAACATATCTACCTCCACAAAGTAGGGGTAAGGTCTGCGTACATACTACCCTCTTCAGACCTAGCAGTTGCAAATAACAAAAACTATAAATACATCGAAATCAATATCCAGGCATTAATAATTCAATCGCAAATCTGATATGCAAATCAACCCATCCACAAAGTGGAACCTTTCGTCGTCTCATCAGGGAAATAGGACTTTTGCAATGGTTTAGCTTCTACTGATGTCTCCTCTGATCAAAAGGTCACTGAGTCCAACAGATATTCTGGAGTACCGTGCAGCTCTGAAGTCGCATCTAGGTGGATGCTATATAAACAAAGATGAAGTGGTTAGAAAAGAAAAGGCCACAGAATGTCAGTCAAATATAGGACATAGCAACAGCCATAACTATAAATAAGAAATTGGTGAAAAAAGGTTGAAAGCTAGTACAGAAAACTCAAAAATGCCAAAAAAAGTGGAGTATATAAAAGAACTAATGGGGAGTACTCAGTGGCTAATAGCTACAATGCAATGCTAACAGGGTTAGAGAGATTAAAGGAGGCTGACTTAATATGGACCAAAGCGATGCAACCAACGCACAGGTTCATTGTTTGGTTAGCCAATCAGAACAAGTTGCTCACAAAAGAGAGGCTCCAGAGCCATATGGGGAGCAATGATATACCATACATGGCAATGGCAAGAAAGGAATTGGAGGATTTTTAGAGGCACCAATGTGAGTACACAGTTTGCAAATGTACAGATACAGAAAGAAGTCAAAATTAGACTAGAGAGTATACAAACATCAAAGAAAGCACAAAAGTGTCAAAGTCTGTTCAAGAAGTTATGTAATTAGCTAGTTATTGTTTCTGTTTTTTACTGAATCTATTAGCTTGATTAAAATAGGAGCATGTACTAGGGTAGCGTGAAGAGTTAGTTAACTATTTTCTTGTTAGTTGATTGGAGGCCTGGATGTAGCACCTTGTGATGGAGGTTGCAAACATAGGCGCTCATGAGTTGTACAAAAGTCGGTTGTTAATGGTAATATTTCACATTTATTACCAAAAAAAAATAAAAGAATGATGTTAGCTTAGTTCTTTCTTGAGGAGTATAGTATGTCAGTGCAATATATAGAAGAATTGGCATAATGGAAGGTTATGTAATTAATTAATCTAGGAATATTTATAATTAAAAAAAGAAAAAAAGAAAAAAGCATAAAGGGTAATCTCCAAAATTATCAATTGCTACTTGGTCAAGGCATTTTTGTAAAGGATAGATGAGATTCATGAAACTTCTACGCATTCCAAACGCTGGTTAAGAATGCTACGAATATTAAGTGATGGAGACCTGAACTTCAGATCATTACAGAAGTTACTAAAAATTGTTTTCGATATGATCAAAAGCATCCAAAAGTATACCTGTCTTATTGCACGGGTTTCATAATTATGAAATCACTTACCGTTTTTGGTCTTTAAGATAAGAACTTGAAGGCTGTCACATCCTGTGCATTCTTCTACTTCTATTTTAATCTCCACAGCTGAATTTCCAACTGAGTCGCTACAGTCGATCACTTTAATCAATTGCAGTGTTTGAATATCCACTAAGCTAGACGGGATTTCTTCAAGCTTGGAACAACTCTTTATAACTAGTTTTTCAAGCAGGGGAAATGATTCCTCTGAGCAAATCCACTTAGTCATAAACACATGATGCAATTTCAAAACTTTGAGTGTCTCGAACTCGTGATCACTGAGGTCCCATTGCTTTTCCCCAGTAAAGTATATCTCGGATAGTTTAAGAGTCACAAGATCTGGCAGTTCTGCAATTCCTGAAACTATTTCGTCCGTTAGGAAAATGTCACTAAGGGACAATACCTTAAGACTTGAGGGGAAGACAAAGTATCTATCTGATTTCCCGATTGACACTGGCATGGGAAACAGAGAATAAATGAGGAACATTGCCAAATTCATCAATATGGACACTGAGTTCTTCAAGATTTGGAAACTTCCCCCAGAACTTCGGATTCATGTCAGACACGGACATATAGCACATGCCAAGAGTCTTCAAGTTGTGTAACACAATTTCTGAAGATTCTTCCCATGTTATGGAGAATTCGTTTATATCCACATGCCTCAACTTTGCCATTTTCCAAATAGCAGGTGATATCATTATATAAGATGAACGAACCCGCAAGGTTTGTAGTTGGAGTAGGTGCGATACCCAGTTGATATTAAATGCTTTGACAAAAATTGCAAGGAACCTCAAGTGAGTTAGTGATTGAAATGCAGCAGCCCAAGAATCTTGCAAGTAGATATCCAATAAATGCAACACCCGGATAAGTCTTAAGTTGTTGAGTAAAGGGAAAAGCCGCCTCTTACTTTCAGATATACTGAATTTCGGATGAGCAATGAACTCCAGTGGCCTTTGACGTTGTCCAAAAGACTCCATTTCCTTGGAGATATTACTTTTCATAGTGCCATGTATATACATGCATAACCTTTGTTCATCTGAATCCGAAGTTTGACGTGGATTATAAGGCACTAAGGGCTGCATAAACTTCTCTTTTGTAATTTTTTCCATGCAAAACTCACGCACTTGATCATGAACTGTGCAATATTTTATTTCACCATTAGTTCTTCTTTTAGAAACCATTACTAGGCTTCTGCTAACAAGATCATACAAGCAACTCCTTGATGTTTCTTCTAGCTTCAACGTGTCAATGTTCTGCACAAACTCCTCAGCTATCCACCACTTTAGCAAATCCGATACTGGAATTTCATAACGTTTAGGAAACAATCCCATGTACAGAAGGCAAGGTTTTAAATGATCCTCTAAATGGTCGTAACTTAATTGCATCACCCCCATCAACTGCTGTTCTAAAGAACTGGGACATAACTTATGTGCAACCTCAAGCCACAAAGAAGCTTGCCTTTCCATTTGCGAAAGAATTCCAGCAATCACGGTAACAGCCAGAGGCAATCCCTTAGTGAGTGTGGCAATTTCTGCTCCTACACTCTGTAGCTCCGGAGGACAGCTTTCCCCTTGAAATACTTTCTTCTGCAATAATTCCCAACTCTGTTTATCACTAAGACATGAAAGAAAATATGGATCACTATGGTGCTTAAGCTCCATAGCCACTTCAGCAGATCGAGTTGTTAGCATTATTCTACTTCCATTTCCTCCATCAGGGAAAGATAATCGCAATTCCTCCCATACCTTGACTTCCCATATATCATCCAACACGATGAGATATTTCTTTGTTCTTAGAATCTTACTCAACACGTCAACTATGCTATAATCATTTATAGTAACATGCGTATCACCCATAATTTGTTTTAGCATCTCAAGCAACAGCTCTCTCACATTATATGTTTCTGAAACGGTGCACCACACTTGAACATCAAAGTGAGTAGAATGATTATTGTATAACATTCTAGCCAAAGTTGTTTTACCTATCCCGCCCATTCCAACGATCGAGATAATGTCCAGCTCTGTTGGCCCTCCAATCAATTTTTGAATTACATTTCTCGCATCATCGTCGAAACCCACTAGCTCTTCATCAGCTGATGCATAACTACGTCGGGTGGAAGGCTCTGCAGAAGTAAGAGCAGGAGTTCTTTCACAAATATCAATGTCCTCCATATCAGTTAGCTTTGGCCTCTTTTATGATTGTTGGAAGTAAAATCTACATATAAAAGGATGGAAACATGAATATATATATGTACATATAAACAAGTGAAATAATAAATCATTTTGCGGAACATTAATAATTGTAAGAAACCCCTAATTTAGGAGTAAGAAAATCTCCTAAACAATTCACTATTTCGATTTATTTGAAATAGTGATTTTTTTCTCTATAAAAGTACACTAGAGCCTATCAAGTATTACTACTAGTTGATATTGCACTACAGTATGACTAGTGCATCAAGTCGAATGTTATACCTTTAGTTGAGGGAATGCCCTGTAATAAACACCTTTGATCGATGATCATGTATATGTGGGATACACGAATTAAAAGGGCGTGGTATAATAGATTAGACAATCCAACTATAAAAGTAGCCCTAATTTAAGCTAATTATCTTTCTTCTTCATTGTTGTCGAAGCTTCTGCTCATCCACCATTGTTTGCAACAAATTATTTGTGATACAAAATAAATTGCAACCGCAATATAAATATGAAAAAACATAATTTTATTGATAAAATGATGCGGGTACAATTCTGTTTGTTCCCTTGATTCTTCTCTCTAGATCGTTCCCGTAATTCGAGGGCTTAACCTGAGTATTTCTCGAATGTAGGATAATGGGAACTTCCCCAGGATGTATTTGAACATCCGTTGATCACTTCGGCGATTTTGAGAAAGACAATATTTGATGTCTTTGATATCTTTGTGAATATTCCATGTATTTTTATGGAATTTCGAGATACTTTCAAAGGGAATATGTGATCCATTTTTATAGGTGTAGCTAGGGTTTTGGATAGATTACCCGCCAAGCTAAGGTTTCAGGTATAGTAGCCTCCAAGTTAAGGTTTTAGATAGAGTAGCCTCCAAGAAACCCTCGATGGACTCTACACTTAAATTTAGGATTTTGCCCAAATTTCATATGAATTTGATCCGATAAAATTTTAATATCTATAAATGCCCCCTACTTCAAGGCTTGTCGGGGTGTAGATTTACAAGATCACCGTAGACGAGGCTTGAAGTACCAGCAAAGAAGACACCACATTCTTTTCACCGTGAGAGAAGAGATGAAGGGCAGATTTGGTCCCACTGGGCGTGCTAGAAATTTGAAACAACAAATTTTTCCGTCGAGAAAATAAATAATCAAGACTGGAAAATTGCGTAACAAATGTAGTATTTGATTTCAATAAATATTGAGTGTTACAATCTCTATGGTATTCCTCTGATTCTTCAAGAATGTAAACTATCTTGATGAACTTGAGTTTGATTTTGATTCAAGGGCTTGTAAAGCTTGGTCTTGAATCTCCTTCTTAAACTTGGATTTGGATTTGGTCACAAACAAGTAATTTGATCTCGAACGCCTTGGTATTTGATTTGCCTTCGTTCTTGATCTTAAACTTGAACTTGAACTTGAACTTGAACTTGTAGCTTGAGTGCTTGAACTTGTAGTTTGATCCACGAGCTCTCTGCTTGCTTCTTGTTATCACTGGTGTCTTCTATCTTTATGAAGACCTCTATTTATAGTTGTAGGGAGTGGTGTGACTCTGCGATTTGATTGGTCCATTTGAACTGACAAATACCATCCAAACACTTTGCACAAGTTGTTGATTTGACTTGGTAATGCCACCCTCTCTTGACACATGGTATCATTTCATTGGCTCATTTATTTATCTTGGATCACCATATCATTTGACACGTGTCTTGATTTTATTGGCTCATTCTTTTGACTTGAATTGCTACATCACTTAATCTGTGGCATGAGCCTGGACTTTAAGATGGGGTTAATAGCCATTTGGACCTTGGGCCAATAAAGTGGACTTATCATTTAATTTGTAGTCCAACTAAATGGACTAACCCAACACTTATATTTTGGATTTAAATAATTAACCCCATTTACTAGCCACACTATTTGTTTTGATTAATGTCTTGTATTTAATATGGTCCAAATTATTTTATGGATTTAAATCCGATAAAATTTAAATGCTTACAACCATTTTTAAGGGCGAGTCAACCAAATTCCAATTTCTTTCTTTGAATAGTGAAGATGCCAAATCACGTCATCCCTATATCTTACTCCCTCTGTTTCAATTTAGACGATGTAGTATGACTCGGTACAGAGTTTAAGAGAAAAGATGAAGTTTTTTGAAACTTGTCGTCTTAAAAGTTTTGTAGAGTCATAACATTTGTGTGGTTATAAAAGCTTCTCATTAAAGGTAAAATAAATAAAATGAAAAGTTTAAAATTAAATTATTTTCAATTATAGAAATGTGTCATTCTTTCTTTAGGGAGGGGTTCTTGGGAAAAGATCCATATGTAACTTGGATAGATCTAATCAACTAATTATTTACCAGAATTTGGTTATAAACTATTTGAATATATTAAGAATTTGGTTATTATTAAGAATTTGGATCCTCAACTATGAAATCTAGCTACTCTATTATCTTTTGTTTCTTGGGGAAAGATCCAGAAGTAATTTTTGAAATCAAGCTACTCTACGTACTCTTTGTTCATTATTCCTGGGCTTTTTGATAATTTTCCTTTTTTGCCTAATTTATCATTATTTAAGGCCTGATTAATATCTTTCAATATCATCTAGCATAGACTATATAATGTAAAACAAGACATAAAAATATGAATCTTTGACAAATGATCAAATATGAAATTGCAAAAGGAAAAAGAAAATTAAAACTTATAAGAGAAATCTAACCTTTTAGTGTTGAGAGTGGCTACAGAGAGATAAATTGCTCCAAAGGTTCTTTAGCTTTATGATTTCGGGCAAGAGAAATGAAGAGGAAGTATATAATAGCAAAGCAAATATATCGTGAACTTTCCAAATTGAAGAAAATTGTGATAAGTCAACTTATACTAATCTTGCTTGAATTGGAATCTCAATAGTGAAATCTGTGGGCAAGTGCACCAGTAGCCATTTTCAGCATGCTGTTTAATATATGTGCGTGATTTATAATATATTTAAAGATTAGTCAATTCATCTCAAACATCAGTACTAAGTATCTTGAATATTTATATCCTAAATTTTTTAGCTGCTAATTTGGAATTCATAACTTAATGTACTAAATTTTTGAACTGCTAATTTGAAATTCAGGATTAAATATCCTGAATTTCTGAACTACTAATTTGAATTTCAGGATTAAATGTCCTAAATTTCTGAACTGCTAATTTGAAATTCAGAATTAAATGACCTGAATTTCTGAACCGCTAATTTAAAATACAGTATATAAGATTCGAATTTCTGGACATAATTTTCGAACTTTAGGATGCGATGTCCTGAATTTGAACTTTGATGTTTAAATTTCAGGACATCGTATCGTAAAATTTGAGCGAATTGACTAATTTTTAAATACAATGTAGACTGTGGATATATTTTTAAAAAATATGCTTTAAAGTGGCTGTCTTGTGTCATTTTCACGAAATCTGCTTCACATTTAAAATAAAAATAACAATTATTGCTCTGTCAATCCAAATATGATTGTCATCTTTTACTTACTACTCCATGTACTGGGAGGAATGTTGAAAAGATAAGTACCTATTAAGCTGAATGCAAGAGTATTTTTTTAAATTATTTTTTATCTCTTTTAAATGTTATGCTTAGTTAACATTCCACTAATTAGAGAAGTGAAGATGAATTTTTAAAAAAGAAAAAGCAAATACGCCCAATGTACAAGGCATCTCGTGTTCATGTAGGGTCCGAGAAACGGCCGCACCTCATGATTGTGATGTTGACAGCATACCATAATGCAAAGTAAATACGTTATGTTCATTTAAATTATCAAATATTTTGAAACAAATTTAATTTGTTAAAAGAACCAATATTTGGAGAAATTTTAGCATGTGTCTCATACTACCAACTCTACTTGTATAGTTGTATAAGATTACTTTCTTAATTTTGGTCTATTCAAGGACACTTTCAAATATTCCTTCTTTGTGTTTCGTACTTACTCGTATTTCCTTATGTAGTTCCAAGAGATTTTTACATGGTTTCCCTTGCAAATAATCCAGACGATCGATGATACTTCATATATAGACTTAAACTTTAGTGCATAAATCATAAATACATAAATTCATCAAATACCAGGATCTTGAACATGAAAATCTTATAGAGAATCATTACAGAAACATACTTGATGCGGAAGATATTATCCCAAAACTGACTTCGTAGGAATTTCAAGAGGAATTTGAAATTTTCATGACCAAACACTGATTCATTTGAAAAAAGTGAAAATTCTTTTACGGCCAAACGTGGCCTTAATTTCTTAGAAGAACACCTACCGCAAAGGAAATGAAAGAATCAAATATGAAATTGCTAAATTTTGTGAAGTAATTTGAAATGAAAAGAATGAATGAGTATATCACCGTCAAGGAGTATTTAGATAAACTTTTTTCCCCTCAAAACAAGGACTTCATATTACTGCATCAACGAATAACAAAGTGCAAATGTACTCTTCGGATTCTGGACAACCCAACTTGGAAAAAACTTCTCTCAGAAGATATCCTTCAACAAAGAAAGAGAAAATCTAGCTAAACTATGAGCTACTTTGTTCAACCTCCTTGGAATATATAGAAACTTCATGTTATCAAACATGCCTGATAGCTTCCAAATGTCATTACACAACATTTCTATCTCCCATGAAGTAGCCACTTATTTTTGGATCATATTAACAACATTCTTAGCATCAGATTAAATCATCACATTTTTTTTCATCCATGAGTAATAGCACATTCAAGTGCCTTTCTTATAGCAATCGCTTCAACGGTCATGATTTTTCCAACATATTGAATCGGGGATTCATGGGCATGAAGTAATTTTTCAAGGCTATTCAAAACCGCAATACCAATACTCGCATGTCTATCATCATACCGTAATCATGCATATGTAAATAATAAAGTTCCATATTGAAAATTTTGTTAGTTTAGACACATGCTCATTTCCAATTGAAGATCGGACATCGAGGCAACTAGTTAATAGATCTTTATATTCTTCATACTCAAAAAAAGCTTTAGAAACAATATCAGTTGGCTCTAACATTTCCTGATTAAAGCACCAAGCATTCCTACCATTCCAAATTTTCCACATAATATTAACACTCAAATGTAATAATTCTATAGATTTAGGAAAATGCTTAGCAGTTAAGAACAAGTTGTACCACCAAACAGAAAAGCCAGTTATGTTTTCAATATCAGGCCAATAAATAGAAATTTATTTCCATACAAGCAAGACCGAGGACATCTAAATAGCATATGTTCAATATCTTCACTTTCAAAATCATAAATCCTACACATGATATCCATGTTCTACAATCTTTTAGCTAAGGTACTATTAATGGGCAAAGAGTTAATCACACATTTCCTTAGAAAATATTTAAGTTTATTTTTAGTTTCTAAATTCCACAAAAGAATCCCAGAAGCTATAAGGAAAAGAATGACAACTCGGCTTCCGAATTCCTAATAGTCTTACCCGCCAAATCCTTTGTTAAATAGTAACCTGACTTGACTTCATAGTTCCCAGATTTTGAATGATGCCATATTAATCTATTATTAAGACCTAATGGATATTCGAATAGATAAAATTGCATCTACATTTCCAGGTTCAAAAGTTATACTTATCTCATGAAGTTTTCAGGTATGCGTATCTTCGTCAATTAAATCTGCAACCTTAAGATCTAAATTGTTTTGCATTTGAATACTTTTTGGAGTAAAATCATTATTTCTTGGAATCCAAGGATCAGTCCAAATATTTATATTTTTTCCATCACAAATCCTCCACCTTAATCCATTAACTAATAGATCTCTTACCCACAACATACTTCTCCATATCCATGATCCAGTAGATGATATAGAAGCGTCAAAGAAAGCTGAGTTGGGAAAGTATTTGTTTTTAAGTACTATTGCTAACAACGAATCCGGGTACGAAAATATACGCCAAGCTTGTTTAGCTAACAAAGCCATATCGAAAGCTTTTAAATCCCTGAATCCTAATCCACCTCTTAATTTAGAATCACATAATCTTTCCCATTTCTCAAAATGCATCTTCTTTTTATCCCCACCAAAAGTTAGAAAAAAAAAGATGTAATCTCCTTACACAGACCATCAGGGAGTAGGAATCAAGACAAGGCATATGTAGGAATTCCTACAAGTACATATTTAAGCAGTACTTCTTTTCCTGATGTACTTAAAAATTTATCCTTCCATCATTTTATTTTCGTCTTGACTCTATCCTTAATAAACTCCAGCATCTTTTTCTTTGATCGTCCCACGATAGCTGGTAATCCTAAATACATACTTATTTCATTTCTTTGTTGTCCAAGTAAGGAAAATATCTCCACTTTCTCCTCCTCCGTTACATTTCTACTAAAATAAATAGCAGATTTATCTAAATTAATCACTTGCCCAGAACTTTGTTCATACTTCCTTATAATATCAGCTATATGAACTACATTATGAGCGTTAGCTAACAAAATATAAAAGAGTCATCTGCGAATAATAAATGAGTTAAGCTCGGCTCATGTCTATCCAACTTTAATCCTTGAATTTCATTTTGAGTTTTAGATATCTTCAACCAAGTAGAGAAACCTTTCGCACGTATTAAAAATAGATAAGGTGATAGCGGATCTCCTTGTCGTATTCCTCTAGTCGGCTTAACTAATTCAACTATCTCCTCATTAATATTAAAACTATAGGTAGGGGTAGAAATACATTGCATAATCCATTCTACAAATCTTGCATGAAAACTCATTCGTAAAAGCATTTTTTGAATATAAATCCATTCAACTCTATCATAAGCTTTTGACATATCCAATTTCATCGCCATAAATTTCTCCCTACCTCTTTGTTTATTTTTTAGAAGATGCATAAATTCATGGGATAAGATAACATTATCGGTTATTTGTCTATGGCCAACGAAAGTTGCTTGAGTCGGAGATATAACCTTAGTTAAATAACATTCCATTCTCGTAGCAAGAATTTTTGATTTTATAAAGAGTAGAACACAAACTTATGGGTCTAAATTGCAATACCAAAGTAGGGCTTTTAACTTTAGACACGAGAGTGATTAAAATATGGTTCCACGAAGGAATTAGGTATTCTGTAGTGAAAAAACTATTAATAGCTTCATAAATATCCTTTGATATAATATTCCAATATCTTTGAAAAAATAAAGGAGTCATTCCATCCATGCCTGGCGCTTTAAGAGGATGCATAGAGAACACCGCATTCTTTATTTCCTCTTCACTAACATATTTAATGAGTTCTCGATTTATAGAGTCACTAATTGTTACATTGACATGGTTCAGAATACTTTCGAAGTTCTTCGGGTTAGATGTAGAGAATAGTCTATCATAATACGCCTCAACTTCTTGAACTATATATA